AGCACTGGGGACACACTGAGAAGCAACAGCTACGACAGAAAGTGATGGAGCCAGTAGGACGTTATAACTGGTACCTTGTTTACCTCTAGAGTGGAAAGGAAAGGAGATTAGAAAGAGGCAGAAAGATGCTGTGATGGGAGCTTCGGGCAGATTACACAATGGATGGAGCAGAGGATAAGATATCTAGACTGCTGACCCTTCGTGTGGGTCACGTTACAAAAACAGATTCCCATAGTGTTTTTCTAGGAGCAACTTAGAACCTGTGTCTCCAGTAAAATAAATGCTAATAATTGACAAAGTTGTCCTGAAACAGGCTTCTTGCTATAAATTTGACTTGTCAAGCGATATTCAAGAAGAGAACTTGTAAATACCAAACACACCTCCTTTTGCAGCTCTCCCCTTACCCCACTATCACCAGCTTATGCGCGTATTTCATATAGAACTGGCAGCTAGCTCAGCCAGATCCAAGTTCTCTGCTCACAAATTTTTACTTCTCACAAGGACCTTTTTAACTTTTTAGTACTCACCCGATCAGCTCATTAAAGAACTGAGTTTCCAAAGCTTAGACTGTACATTAAACATAGAGCACTGCGATATTACTTACTGGTTTTAGACTCCACAACCTCAACAAAAGTGCTTTGGTCTCTGTTTTTTCTTTTCTTTTCTTTTTTGAAGGTAAAAGTGGGCATGTTTGGACAAGAAGGATTTGTGCTAACTTACCAACTAACACTAGCAAGCTTGGTTAGCGGCTAATACTAGCAAACTTGGTTAGCAGCTAACAGTAGCAAGTTTGGTTAATAGCTAACACTAACAAGTTTGGTTAGCATGCTGTCTCCTTAAACTTTATAGGTGCAACATACAAAGATATTTGTTAATTAGTGCCATGTAACAGCGGTAATAGTAATAACATAGAAAACTAGAATTTCACTCGCCAACATGTTTGGACTTAGACAGAAAACCAGGTTATTTGTCAAATAATTGCACTGAAGGGTACCAAAAAGTACCAACAGCATAAACAGGTGAAGGGGCCCATTTCAGTTTCTGTAAGTGGTCAGGCCTGGCAGACAACGACTGAATACCAAGGCTTGTGTTGGTCCACCAGTCAAAGCACCCACGCCCTCAACTCTAGCACTAAAGCACTGGATATTACTGAGTGATAAAAAAAAAAAACTTCTTACAAAGGGGAAAACTATCAAAACTTGCCAAACCGCTTCTTGTGCCAATCTTTTCAATGCTGTGAAGCTGGTGGGGGCTATACATACTGTTGGAGTCTATGGGGATTGACTTATTTTGGAGCCAGCTTCAGACACGCCATCACTAGACTGCCAACAGACTGCCTTCATGTTAACCCTGCTTAACCATAAATTCACGTTTAGAAGTAACAGGCTTTATCGCTGTTACAGTTAAAAGTCAGAGCCTGTTGGTTATATGACAGCCATCTAAAAGTTTGCTAACGTCATCCAAGAGATCCAAACGGACATGATGGGCCGTACTGAATTGTCCTAATTAAAATATTCGAGTGTAAGAGGAAGAGTACATTGATTCTTTTTGAAAAGATACATTGTCTTGCTCTAAAAGCCTCAGAAGACATGACTTCTGTGCAGCCTAGTTTATCATTTATGTCTCATAATGTGATTTTACAATTACATTAGAATAACTAACTTAACCAAAGAACAGCTCGAGAGTACAGATTTTCTGAATAAAATCTGAGGCTGGGGAAATAGAGAGAACTCTGGGCATCACAGCTTAGCCCGTTACCTCCCCTAATAACCAGTCCCAGATTAACATTGGAAAATGGATGGATGGAAAATCTTTGGTCTGTGTTGAGTCTTCCATTGTTTCATTCTAACCCTGAAATGCTACAATCCGGTAATTGGAAGCTGTCTGCCTGTTGCAGGTTTATATGAGGGTGAAGCACTAGGCTCCAGATTCAGACATGCAATCCCCTCTCATCTTGCTTTAGATGTCTTCCATGGCTCATACTGTCAGTGAAAAAACCACAACTCCGGCATATGGCTGACATGCACAAGGCATTATGCACACCACATTGCGTGCATGGATTAAAAAGGAAATGCATTTGCTCTCTGTCTCTAGCTCTTATTCTTCCCCGAGCACTTAAATCTTATATTGTTCCTGGATCTTAAAAGCCACCCAAAACTAATACTAAGTGTAGCTTTTTGCATCTTAGGTGCGACTGTCTGTGGCCTGAGAATCTCCAGCCATGCTTGTAGGTCTGTGCTGTAAGGTTGTTCTTAGACTGCATTCTGGTCATGTACTTCAGGCCATAATTATGAGTTTTAGGGGGAAAACCATTGATATCAACTTCCGAGTTGCAAATCCCAAGTTGGAAAAATAAGGGGCACAGAAGCATTTCCAGTTAGCTAACTGCAATGTCAGCAGCAGAGGATTGCTGACAACGTGTCTGCACAGATACCAGTGCTCGCATTTCAGAATGAACCAATATTTATACTAATACAATTTAAGTTTATTTAAGTGCAACTGTCTATGAAACACATTTTTAAACCTGTATTGTGTTTTAATGGCCAGCAGAGGGAGAGGTCTCTAGTTTTCAAGCAATTGAGATTACTAAAGTATTTGAATTCTTGGTTTACTACTGATTGATTAACTCAATAAATATTTTACTAATGGTTTTATGATCTTATTCACCAGTTTTGAGTGTTTATAAATCAAGAGGTTCACAAATGTTTGGTTTGCCCTAGCCAGCGTATCATATCATACAGGTGTACATACAGTGCTTAGACCACCTGTACACAGCACATGTACTCAGAATAGTTTAAAATGTAGAGCAGTGAACCTCACAGAGAAAAAAACATAAGCATTGCAATAAATCTTCACTAAAAGTATTTTATATTAAATGGGAAATGAAGCAGCCAGAGCTTTTTTTAAAGTTTTTTTTTATGTTAATACTGTAATGTATTGTTTACATGCACACACACACACACACACACACACACACACACACACACACCTGTTGTTATATGTTTAGATTTTTCAGGAAGAACTAGTTATTTGGTGTCTGGAGCACCATAGACAGTACAGATTCATCCTGTGGGCAGCAAGTCCCAGACAATTACACAGTTACAGAGACAGTAATTCAGCCACAGCCTGTTGACTGTGGACTTAAAAGTCAGACTGACAGGTTAAATTTAGAGACATTTCTTTCTGTCTGAAACACACAAACGCTTACATCACTGTATATGTGAATGTAAAGTGATGGGAAATACAGCCAAACCAGGACAAAGTACTTCCATTTATTTTCTCACAAGCAGCTATCCTCATGATGATTCTGTGACACCACTTCGGCTGTAGGGACACTGTCCAATTATGGTCGGCCACACAACCTGGTCCACGGAGGGATTAAAAAAACTCAGACACAATGAAGGTGTGACACATGAGGACTGGATAGAGACAGATAACCAGAGGGAATGGTAGGCAAAAAAGATTAGGATGGGGTGTAGATGTTGGGAGGTAGAGAGACAGAGACGACATAATGAAAGGAAGTGAATGAAAACATCCCATGTTAAAGTGTCTGTCAAAGGACTCGCAGAGGATTCGGTGTGTGCTTGGTGAGAAGAGCCATGGCAGCGTCTTCTGAAGTCAGCACTGAAAAGCAGGGAGACACACACACACACACTAACTTTCACAACTCTCACAGCCTCTTTCATAGACAATAGATACGCTCTTACACAAGAGTAGAAATTCACTGCTTGCACACTCACACAGCATGCAGCATGAGTCATGTTCGGTTGAAGTTGCTTCTGCCTCAGCTACATCAACTTTCTGACTTTATGAGTAACAGGCGTTTTACTGTCTAAGGTGACAACTTGAAGATTGATAGGTAGATATTTTCATGCTTCTTTCAGGCTAAGTTAAGCACACCATCTCCTGACTCCAGCTTCATATTTAACAGACAAACACGAGGGGTGTTATTGATCCCATCAACTAACTTTTCTAGAAAGAAAATGAAGCGTGCTTACCAGACAATGTTGGATTATTCCCTTAATGACTCACTGCAGAGGAGCAAGGGGGAAAAAAATCAGCTGATTTTTATTGACTGACAATCTGATCTGGGCTGTGTTAAACCCATCAGCTTCAATTCTCTGGTCCTCTTCGGAATTGATTCGAGGCCAGCTGCTTAGGGAGCCGGTGGTCTACTTTCTACAATGAGCCTCATTTCATCCAGACCTTTATTACTCACAGAGGCTTGCTTGCCCGTGTTTCCGTACGCTTTTAATACCGTTGCAGGTGAGATGAGCACAGATGGAATTGGACTGGGATGATGGAGAGGGAGTTAATATTGATATGAACTGGCATTAGGTGGAGTCACAGTGGTTACTGTGAGCACACCACACCTAAATCCAAACAAACCAGTGTGATTGTCATTGCCTGAACTGGTTTGGCTTTTGTGGCAAGGTGCATTAGAAGTGAGAAATAAGCTTGCTGAGCCATTAGTTTTGGATAAATCCATAAACAATGTCAGCTTTAAGTTATTTATTTAAGTATGCAACATTAATCAACGACAAAAAAGATCAGGAAATGTTCTATGGAATGGTTGGATTACATATTGTGTGTGTCACCAAGACATAGTCTCAATTATAGAAATATTTTCTTATGAACTTTTTCATAACAAAAAGTAGAACCAGTGCTCCAAGTTCACGTTAATACACTGCAAAGGCACTGAGCCATTGTGATTAAGCTCAGCATAAAACTATGTAAGGCATGAAGTGGTCTCCACCCTGCCTCAGCTCTAAACGCGAGAGTGTAACAGGAAGTGCGGAGAAGCCGACACACAAAATAAAAGCACACCTTCAGGGAAAAAATAGCATTTGGCAACAAAAGCTCACAAAAACACTCCACGACGTCGTTCGGTGCGTGTTCTTATAAGTCCGTGTCTCTAGACTGGACACAAATTCGCTTTAAAAAAATGCCGTTTTTAAGTGAAACGTTTCTCCTCGGGCGTCGTGACCGGAAACGCTTTGCTGGGCTGCTAGCTTAACGCTAGTCACCTTTTCTTGATCCCGACCCTCCAGCCAATCAGCGGCTGTCAGGGACACATGAACGGCGATAATATCCGCGGAACAGCCGCTGCAGGCAGGAGGAACAAAGAAAGCCGCTCGCTGTTCGTAAGGCGTCCTTTCACTTCGTCAACACGGACGTATACCGTGTTGGATTAGGTCTGTGTGGGTTTTTGTTTGTCTCGTTTTGTCTTTAGCGTAAAGTCATTCCCGTAACTATTACATGTTATTCTACGTATTAATTCCGAGCAGTCGTTTTCACTGAGGAAAGAGAAAACTTGGCGTCGTGAGAGGTGGTTTAGTTTTTTTTTTTTTTTCGTCGGGTCGTCTTTCTCGAAACCCTCCAGCTTTGGATGCGCTTACCGGAGGTCTGTGTGTGGTAAGTTAGTTTTTCTTTTTCTATCAGTCAGAAACTACAGAGTCTGTAAAGGACGCTCGTCGCTTGGCATTGCGGGAATCAGAAAACTCCTCGAACTCAAACTTTGCCTGTTTGATTTCTGAGGCTCGCGAAAGCGACGTTACCTTCTTCTCACGAACAGCCCGGAGACGGGAGCGTTCTCCCGAAGTCCACTAAATGTTCGGGTCTTTTTTTCGTGCTCATCTCCTTGATGACAGACGACACAAAGAATAACTAAACTTAAAGGTGTTTTCTGAGTATTTCGGCATAAGCTTTTTGAGAGCAGGTTGGTCATTGTTATGTTTAAGGCTAACTTGTTGAACAGCTAAGACTGGTGCTTCAGCTGGCGTATATAGGCTTGGTATACTCATATAAATGGCTTCGTAGGGAGTCAGTCGTGCCCGGATGCATTAAGATGACATTACTGCAGCATTAAGTCAATCGACCTGTATTGTAGTTGACTAAAATGTGTCAACACCAAACTATTTTTTTCTTTGCTGTTTTAAAGGATCATGCATGAAACTAGTTTTCCTTGTGTTTAAAAACTGCTTAAATGCACCTTTTAAGCACAGTTTTCACCACCTGAATGCCTGAGGTCTTGATGTTTTCACATGTGTGCTGCCTGATTGGTTTAATTTCGCTAGTTGGTGAACTTCTTTTTCTGAAACGGGCTGCTTTCCATGTGAGCAAACAAGGTAGGTAGCAGAGTGTGTTTCAACCAATTGCAGCTAGGCTGTTTGACTCCATTCAGTGGCCATTTAATCTTAAGCCTGCCTGCTATTCAAGGCTAAACGCCTTGCCTGTAACCACACCATCTGCTTTGCCCTCCAGGGTATTGTCAGGCTACTGTCCAGATCAAGTGTTATGGGAGATTTGTGTGGGTGGACCACAGCAGATGGTAAGATGGAGAGCATTGCTGGCTGATGTGGCAGCTAGGCAAACCATTGTGGTGGTTGGTTGGATCGTGTTTTTTAGTTGTCAATAGTGTAATAAACAAAAGCCAGAATCTTTCAACAGGCAAGCACTTTCCACAGCTCCATCAGAGGCAGCACTGGACATGGTGTGAATGTTAACTAGCTTCCCATACAGTACAACGGCAAGCTTATCTTCTCCTAATAGAGGGGCTAATAACCCCTGCACTCCACTTCCAGCCATCTGGATTTCGACCCTGTGGCTATCATGACGCCAGCTCACCTCCCTTTGACCATGCATAAATGTAAACATGGCGTTAGAAGTCAGCAGTTGAGTTCTGATTTGTTTAGTATATATTATGGGACATCTTCAGTCATATAAAATATAGTGGCCGCTTCATGGATTTTAAAAAGCAGGGAATTGTTGTTTCTTCAGCTTCTGTATTTTTTTTATGGCTGATTGGAGCCCACTGACTGTGGGGTATGTGTGTGATAACAGACCGCCTCTGTGACATAGTTTAACCTGCGTAAGTAGACCTTACTTAATGATCAGTGATCTGGATTGATTTTTAGTGAGTGGGGTCTTTGGATGTATATTCCCCCATATAGGAATCTCACCAATTGGTGCTATGAGGTTCACGAATGCAACATAATTGCTCATCACATACTAGTTTTGTAAAATCTTTATGATACACTGATCAGATTGTGATAGATAAATGAATTCTCCACCTTCAGACTATACTGAATGTGTCTTTGTTCACCAAGGTACCAACTACTGCCATTTATTTATCCACATCTGATGCAAGCCATAGATGCCTTGTGACTTATGCAGAAGTGGTGCAGTAGACCAGCAGTCCCCAACCCCCGGGCGTCGTACCGGGCCGCGAGAGTTGAGGCTCAGGTGTGAAATGTATAGTTTTCAGGGTTTTTATCGGTTTTTAGCGTTATTTTGTTACCGTTTTTATCGTTTACTCGGTTTTCCTTGGTCTTTTCACGTGTGTTATGAATAAATTTTATTTTTTTTGGTACCGGTACTAGTTTTATTTTGTTGTATTTATCCGCGACACCTTAAAGGCCGGTCCATGAAAATATTGTCGGGTATAAACCGGTCCGTGGCGCAAAAAAGGTTGGGAACCGCTGCCCTAGTGGACTCGCGGATGTGGCAAGTATAAATCCCCTTTTCTATTGGACCTACTTGGATCAACTCGGCATGGTTCGCTATGGTTTTCAGGTTTTTCCATTAGGTCTTAGTACCTGGTTCTTTTGTTAGTACTAAAATGTGATGTCTTAAGACTGCATGCCAGTGGTGTCACTTGATGAATTATGAGAGTGACTTATTCATGAAAACCACCATTTTTAAAAAAAAAACAACAAAAACCTGGCAACAAGGGAAAATGCAACAAAAAACAACGCTGTGGTCGCTGAGTCTGATGAAAAGCCCACACACCGAGCAGCAGGTATATTCTTGCCTAGACGTCCACCTTTTTTGTAGTGTTGCGGGACACTCAGATGCGTTGCTATGTTGACAGTCATGCACGTTAGGTAGTACTGGATTGTAGTGGAAAACTAGTCAATCTGAGTCGAGTTGTGGCGATCCAAGGTGAGTCGATCCGAGTAGGTACTAATGGAAAAGGGTCTTTAAATCCACTTGAGTCAGTCTGCACCAACAAGTGGAAATTCTTCTGTGATGTGACTCTTTGCCAAAAGGGACTTGACTCGGCTGGTTACCAGAATATACTGGTTAACCTTGAGTTTAACCAGTATATTTCTGGTTAACTCAGGGTTTCCATAGGTGAGAGTGTGCTGTGGAGGGATTATTGGTCTCCCACTCCAGCATTTGTCTCCAGATCGCTCAGTGTCTCATGATTCACTTATGGTAGCATGCACAGGATAGCCGTCAGCTTTCTGTTCTCCCTGAGGCAGTCAGTCCCTTTGTGTAAACATCCTGTGGTGATGGCAGGCTTGCAGAGACTGGTGGTTGTCTTTGTGAGATGGACTCTATGGTCGGTGTCCAACTCATGTCTAATGTTAAAAGACCCTGTGTCCTCGATCACCATCAAGGACACAGGCTCAGGCTTTTTTTTTTGTCTTCTTTGTGTTATTTTCTTTTTTAAAATTTTATTTTATATAATGATCATATAGCATTAGAACGTTTGTTTTAAATAATTACAATATTCAAGAAAGTAATTGCAATTTCTGCCGTAAGTGAGCAGTTGTGCTAGTCAGGCAATCATAGATGGCGTCATTATCACAAGCTTGTACAGAATGCTAAAATGTGCTTTGATGGTGGTTAGAATGTCTGTATGGATGTCCCAAGTAAAATATAAATGTGGGACACGTGACAGAGCCTGGGATGACCGATGTGGATACTTTCCAATGAGTAATTCAGACATTGTCAGGAAAGAGCACTGTGCTGAAATAAAAAGGCAACAGAAGGGTGTGTAACCCAATTTTCAAGCAGCACTTGCAATGCTCATAATTTTTTAATGGGTGAAAAAAATGGATTGAAACTGTTAGGAGACACTTTCCCTCCATAGACAAAAATTGAATACTGTCTGTCCAGTACCTGCTGGAGGGATTCCAGCAGAATTCCACTTTTATCTGTCCGGTTAATCCCTCCATCCCACGCTCACTTTAACAGAGACTTGGACTCGGTAGTAAAGATGTACACTCAGAGCCCAGGCTGTTTCAGCAGAGCAAGGCTGTAGTCAGTGTGTCTGATGCTGACTCAGTAGAATGTTAATGTTGTGAAATCCCATTAAGAGCAAGCCAGTGCTGAGCGGGGCCCAGCCTGGGCTTTACGGGACAGCAGGTCATTTTAAAAGGCCGGCAGTGTCCCTGTGTTTGCACTCTTGTAATAGAATCTAATTACTTGAGTGGCTCACAGTAAATTGAACGGCTCTTAAATTGCTCCCACTCATGTTTAGTTGCTCTTCAAGGCAGTTTAAATGATTTTTTTTCTTAACAAGTGTTACTGATGGAGGATAACAGTTTTCAGAGAGGCTTTAGTCCAAAGGGCAAATGCTGGATGGATTTGCCCTAAGGCTTTAGCCACTCTTGTTGGCTGGGGTTGGGGGTGGAGAAACAAATCCACCTATTGTTTTTGTTGCCCTGTCCTGATAAGGGTGATTGAACAGCAGGGACTGCATGCAAAGCAGCATACATTCCCACCAGGTTCAGCTGTGACTACCACTGGCTTTCAGATGGGTCGTTTGTGGCCTTTGTCTGCTATTGAATAATAGGAAAGGCACACGGTCTCTATCATGACACTGATAATAGACTGTATTGATGCAAAGCCTCTTCTTTTTTTTCTTTTTGTTTTTCTTTTTTTTTTTAAAGCAAAAAGGTTTCCTTTAATATGCTAAACAATTGAGAAAACCCTGCTCATTGCATTCTTACTTCAGGCACTGAATGTATGACTAGAACATCAGAATACTGCGTGCCACCTGGTGGTACCTGGTGCTATTTAGGGTTTGTATTTTTTTTACCCAGCCCTTCAGGCACACCAAGGATTTTCTCAGCAGAGTGTGTAGAGGTAGAGACAAAATACCAGGGCTGTTTATCTTTCACATCTAAGAAGGATGTGGTGTAAAGAGCTCCTCTTGGAAAAAAAGTTTCCACCCACATTTCTGTACTTTGCACAGAAGCTGGGCACAGTGTGTATAGAAATACAAACTCCTATGAATGAAAATTACTCTTGTAGAGCTGCACCCAAATGTTCAGCTACTTAGGATTTTTGTTTACTGGTTTTATTTTGGGGATGTCATGATCATCCTGTAGTCTCTAGTTTCCTGTCTTGAAACGGTCTATAAGCCAAGCTTTCATTAGTTTCAGCTAGTGCTGGGCGATATGGAAAAAATAGTTATCACGATATGAATTATTTTATATCACGATATACCACCTGACCTGTGGTCATCGGGAAAGTACGGAGTCTGTAAACAGCGAGCGTAGAGGGTGCAGTCTTTGTTAATGAAATGGAAAGTTACGCTCATGTAGGGCTGCGTATCTCTGCTCATCCATAGGTCAGTCGTCAAGGCATAATGCACGACACTGCAAACATCCTTCTCTACT